CAGCCCTGCCCACACATTCCCTTTTTGTTACGCAGTCCCCAAGGCATGGCTTATCACTGCTTTCTCTTCCTCCCCTGGAGTCGCCCCGTTGCCTCCCTCTGTCCTACTCGTGTGACCTGTCTACATTTACAAACATCTCTGAGGTCTTCCAGCTGTGCTTCCTCCAAGTCCAACTCAGCTTCCCAGCACAGCTGGCTCTCAGCTTGATCACAAGTGGAAGGACCAGCCTCTTCATTAGTTTGTAAGTCTTGCAGCTCATCAGAGTCTCCCTCTGACTCTGATGGCTCTCCAGGCCCCTCCTCCTCCTCCTCTTCCTCAACTACTGGGATCACAGGCTGGCATGGAATTACCACAGGACCTAAGAACTATTAAGATAGCGTCTGAGTATATAGGCAGTTCCACGTAGGGTGGTTTTTTTTTTTTGCAAAATCAGGATATTCAGGGCTAATAAGTTCAAAATTACCATGTATCCACGCAGCCCTTTGGGTATTGTTGCTAGGGCTCCTATTAGTATTGGTACAACCATTGATTTCTTCCTCCACAATCACTCAACTTCAATTTGCAAATCACAGTATTTTGTTATTTTTTTTCTGGCTGTTTCTCTTCAAATCGTGCATCCCAATATTGCAATATCAATGAACAAGATTTTTTCTTTTTCACAATAGTGATGTCAGTGTGATGTCTGTTTGGATTCAAAAGTCCCACAGGATCCTGACTTGCTCATTTTCAAGAAGTTTGTCAATTTGGTGTTCCCAGTCATTTTTGCTGCATTCAAACTCTAATTTCTGGCAAAGCTTCCAAATATAATTTTGGCAACTCGATCACGACGTTGCAGATAATCAATCTGTGAGATTTTGCTGCAGTCACTGATAAGATCCACTGTTTCAACTTTCTTGTTGCATAAGTGACATTTGCTGTTGTTGCTGACATGTTGAATTTTTGCTTTCATGGGACTGGTCTGCAAGGCTTGTTCTTGGGTAGCCAAAATGAAGCCTTCAGTTTCTTTTTTTTTTAGCCAGCTCCATGTTACCTCTGAATCTACCTTTCCTTCAATGTTCTTCAGGTATTCTTTTTCCAGTTAAAAAAACGATGCTCAGTTGTTTCCATTCAATATTCTGCTTTTAAACTTGTTGATTTCAAGAGGTTTTTCTTGCTCACCTGATTCAGCAGAGGTTCTTTTGCTTTTTTAATGTATTCATTTAAGCCATGTTTTTCCTCTTCCACAGTTTATTTCACCTGTAAGAGTCTTCTGCCACTCTGGGATCTTGGCAAATACAATCGATCAACCTCACTTTTTGGGTGCAGAACATGGTGCATTGTCATTAGTTTTCTTGTCTTTTGATCCAAGTTATCAAGTTCTAGTAGAGTCCAATCAATTATTCCAGCTGAGTATCATATTACAGGCACTTCCCAGGTGTTAATTGCCTTTATGATATTTTGTCCACTCAGCTTTGATCTCAAGATTTTCTGGAATTGCTTTATGTATTTAGTTGAAGTAGCTTCCTTGACTTGATTGTGCAACAGGTCAGAAGCTCCTAAGTACTTGTACCCCTCTTCTGGTGTTACTGCTTTTATCAGCTCTTCATTATCAAGTTTGAATCCATCAACTTCAACCATTTTTCCTGCCTTAACAGCAATTGTTGCACTTTTGTCAATGATAAATTGGATTTCAGTGTCTCTACTAAACTCCTCAGTGCTTTTCAATAGTGAGCTCAATTCAGCTTTTGTTTTTCCAAACAGTTTTAAATCATCCATGTAGAGCAAATGGGAAATTTTCAACCCTTTCTTAGCCAATTCACAGCCACAGTTTATTTTGTTCAAAATGCTTGTTCATGGTGCCATCAAAAGTACAAATAACAGAGGTGACAGTGAATCATCTTGGAAGATACCTTGTTTGATTTCAACTTTACCAAGTTCTTCTCCATAGACCATCAGCTTAGTTTGCTGTAACTTCATGGAAGTTTTCAGAAATTTCTGGATGTTGCTGCTAATTTCAAAAATGTCTAAGCATTTTTCAGTCCAGTTGTGTGGAACAGAATCAAATGCTTTTTTATAGTCAATGCAGGTCATGAACAAATTTGTTTGTCTTTTCTTTGAATTCTTCAAAACCCATTTATCAATCATCAGTTGGCCTTTGATTCCTCTTGAAGTTTTGCAGCACCTTTTCTATTCTACAGATAGCAAATCCTTGTTTTCTAGATATCCATAAATTTGGTTTGCAATAATGCCTGTCAGTAATTTGTATGTTGTTGGCAGGCAAGTGATTGGCCTGTAATTTTCAGGTTTATTTCCCTTTTGTGCATCCTTCTGAATCAAAGCCATTTTGCACTTTCACTTTCTGGTGTTTCGAGAACCTGATTCATCTGGTTTGCTAATCTTGCATGCAAACTTGTTAGTGATTTCAGCCAGAAGCCATGCAGCTCATCTGAACCAGGAGTACTCCAGTTCTTGATCACCTTTGCTTGTTTTTGCACAATTTCTTTTGTTAGGTGAACATCTTCCATTCTAGTCACTTTTACAGTGCTTTCAATTTGCCTGATCCACTTGCATTCCCATTGTGCTTCTTGTTGTTTTCCCATAAGTTCTTCCAAATTTTCAGAGTATTTTTTTTCCTTAAGTTTTTCACTTGTGGTAGCACAATGTCCACTTTCAAGGGTCTTATAGAAATGATGCTGGTTCTCTCAAAATTGTGGATTTTGCTGAAACTGCATTATTCGGTTATCATATCGCTTATTTTTTCTGCAATAGCTATAATTCTTTGTTTCAGCTCTTCAACCACAACTGCAATTTCCTTGTTTTCCATATCTTGTTGTCGGGCTAATTCTGATTTTTTTTTTATTCTTCAGATTTCCTTGTCTCAAATTCTTCAAATTACTTAAATGCAATTGAATTTTCTTTATTCTTAACTCCAGGTGGATTTTCTACTTTGATTTTCCCTTCTTAATTGCTTTATTCTTTTCAATTTTCAAGCCCAATTCTTTAGTAAGCTGCTGCATACATTAGCTGGTCTGTCTGAGCTAATGTTTCTGTTGGAATAGTCTGGACAGCTTCATTCTCATTCTTCAATACGTTAGCCAAACTTCTCTTACTAGAATAGAATAGAGCTGGAAGGGACCTTGGAGGTCTTCTAGTCCAGCCTCCTGCTCAAACAGGAGAATCTATACTGTCTCAGACAGGTGAATGTCTAGTCTCTTCTTAAAAATCTCCAGTGATGGAGCACCCACGATTTCTGGAGGCAAGCTGCTCCACTGGTTGATTGTCCTCACTGTCAGGACGTTTCTTCTTAATTCCAGGTTGCCTCTCTCTTTAATCAGTTTCCAACCATTGTTTCTCATCCTTCCCTCTGGGGCTTTGGTGAACAACCTGGCCTCTCTGCCTTGTGGCAACTCCTCAGATACTGGAACACTGCTATCATGTCTCCCCTATTTCTTCTTTCCTTTAGACTAGCCAAACCCAAGTCCCGTAGCTGTTCTTTGTATGTTTTAGTCTCCAGACCTTTGATCATCTTAGTTGCTCTTCTCTGAATTTTTTCCAAACTCTCAACATCTTTTTGTGATATGGTGACTAAAATTGGCTGCAGTATTCCAGGTATGGTCTTACTAGGGTTTTATAAAGCGGCACTAATACTTTGTGTGATCTTGATTCTATGCCTCTGTTTATACAACCCAGGATTGTATTAGCTTTTTTGGTTGCTGTCGCATACTTCTGGCTCATAATCAAGTAATTGTCCACTAGGACTCCAAGGTCCCTCTCACATTTGCCTGTTTTTAAGCCAGGTCTCACCCAATCTGTATTTGTACCTTTGATTTTTCCTGCCTAAATGTAAGATTTTGCTTTTCTCCACACTGAAATTCATTTTGTTGGATAGGGCCCATTGTTCAAGTTTGTCAAGATCTTTTTGGATCCTGAATTTGTCTTCTGGGGTGTTGGCTACTCCTGTCAGTTTGGTGTCATCTGCAAATTTAAATTGAAGTTCCCCTTCAATTCCCTCATCTAAGTCATTTATGAAGATATTGAAGAGTACTGGGCCTAAGACAGAACTTGTGATACCCTTGTGGTACTAGCTTGATTCAGTTTAAGCAAACAAATTCTTTCCATTTTTTCCATCTGAATCTTAATCTTCTAGTTAATTTGGCTCTAGCTGTTGGTTCTTCAACATCTAATCCAGCTCTTGTTTTTTGCTCCTCATCCACTTCTCTGATTTCCTTCCTTTTCTCCACTACTTGTTGCTCCACTTCTAAATTATTTCTATTATCAGTTACACTTGAGCCTTGATCTTACACTGCTCTCCTTGCAATCTCTTGCAATTCTGCATTAGTGAATAGCTTGTGCTTCAAAATAACACACTCATAAGTCTTTGGTCATTGATTTCTATATCCAGGTGATTCTCCTTCCAAATCTTGGACATGCATTTTTGAAATCCATGTTTTGTTAGCTCAGATCAATAATAAGCTTCCATAATTGAGTAATTATCATCCTTTGTTCAGTTTTTTTGCTTTTTTCATTCGTCTTCCAGTCTCCTGTCAACTCCATGCCCTGGTTGCCTAGCAGAGGGAGCTGAGCTCTGTAGCATATTTTTCACTGAACACTCAGGAGCCATAGTATTTAACGTGAGTCTTGTTCATCCAGGCGATACTCTATCTGGCATAGAATTCACTTGATGTGTTTTCACCATAGTTAAATGGTTTTGGAGCAAGTTTAGTCAGAGCACACAAGTCCCACCACCATGATAAAGTAAAGCTCCTTAGGGTTGTTGTTATTGTTGATTTAATCTTCAATTCAATTCACGGTCTGGGACTGGTAAAAATTTAACAATTAAAATCCTCACCAAAGACCTAAGAACTATTAAGATAGCGTCTGAGTATATAGACAGTTCCAAGTAGGGTGGGGTTTTTTTGCAAAATCAGGATATTCAGGACCAATAAGTTCAAATTTTCCATGTATCCACACAGCCCTTTGGGTATTGTTGCAAGGGATCCTATTAGTATTGGTACAACCACTGATTTCTTCATCCACATTCGCTCAACTTCAATTTGCAAATCACAATATTTTGTTATTTTTTTCTGGCTGTTTCTCTTCAAATTGTGCATCCCCTACTATTGCAAAATCAATGAATCAGATTTTTTCTTTTCCACAATAGTGATGTCAGATGTGATGTCTGTTTGGATCCAAAAGTCCCACAGGATCTTGACTTGCTCATTTTCAAGAAGTTTGTCAGTTTGGTTCCCAGTCATTTTTGCAGCATTCAAAATAAATAATAACAATAACGATAACAACAACAATAATAATATACACAAAAATGTGAAATCACAGCTACCAGTTCGTTAGCTGATGTTTGCTTTCATGCACACTGAGTTCTTCTCCAGAACCTGGAATGTCACAATCTTTCTTTTCAACTACAGTTTTTATTATTATGGTTCATTGCAGAATCAGCCAGATATTTAGATTTAGCATTTTTATCCACCTATTGGTCTTTCCCAAGGACATGGGATGTTGTTGTTTGGTGGTAGTAGGTAATAGTAGTAGTAATAGTACTACTTGTTTGGTAATTCTTAAGCCCCCGTTTCTACTGCATTGCTTTTGGACCCCATCTACACAAAGACTAACTGCCATTCTCCGTCCGCCTGGTAGCACCTTTTTCCTTGGAGGGAAAAGGGGGGATTTTAGGCAAGTTCCGGGCAAACGGTTAAGGGCACCGGCTTCTGTGCGGCGTCACCTTGTTAATGGGCATGTGCAAAGTATTCGCACATGCCCATTTAGGCAAGAGATTGAGCAGTTTTTGCTCTCGCACCAGCAAGACCGCTGAAGCCGCGTCGCACCGAGAGAGCCAGGCAGACAGAATCAGTGCGAAAAGAGGAGGGGGGGTGGGAAGCAGCAGACAGACAGACGGAGCAAGCGAGAGAAGCAAGTGGGAGGGAAGGAAAGAAGGGGAAAACGTGGAATTGCCGAGACGTTTTTGATGTCCGGCATTTGAACCGTCGGATCCTCACTATGCGTTGACAAAGAAGAGCAATCGCTTGAAACCAATGAAATACACAAAACTGTATCTCTGCGCTGCTCCGGTCGGGAAACAATGGGAGCCACGTTCGCCTGCGTACGGATAAGTCCACCTCTCCCAAACGGGCTTCTTCGGGGACTCCTTCAAAGGTGAGACTCGAAAACTTTGCCATGCCTTAGGAATCGGTTGAGTGTTCGCTCTCCTCTTTTCCTGGGTGATCTTCCGACACTGACGGGCAGCAGCTATTTCGCTTGGATGGGACGTGCTGTCGGCGCTGACATGGATCTCACCTGAAGGAGGATCCGGTCGTTTTTAAAGTAGTAACAATTACAGCCATCCCAGTTGCGGGATAGGTTCCTTGAAACTGCAAACGCCGAGCGAAGAAGAAGCTCCGATTTAGGTATTTGGCCATTGGACATCGGTAATTGGCAGCCAGCAACCGGGACTTCCAGCTAAGTTGCCCATATTGTGTAAGGGGGGGGGGGTTGTGTTATCTTATTTAACATTAATTCGGTGCGACCCTCTAGATCCCAGTGCCGGAAAAGAGCCTGGGAAGATGGGGCGAGAAGGCGTTCCTTCGCCTAGTCGCCTGTTCTGAGCCACCTGGGCCATTGACCAGCCTTTCGTACAGCTCAACAACTGTCATGAAAAAGCCGGCAAAGAAACTGCCCCTGAACTCCGGCGGCAGCCTTAGCGGCGGCGAGGGCTTTAAAAAGGCGAACCTCTCCCACTTTCGGGGTTTTGACTGAGGAAGGGGCGAGTCTCTTTCCTGGCCTCAATTGGAGGCGCGGGCGGGGGAGGAAAACCGTTCATTCAGTTCTGCGGGTCTGTAGTCAGCCGTAGCCCCCGGGTCTCCTCGGGAGCTTCAAGCCAGCGACGGCCACCGAAATCGCCAGCCTCCGAAAAACCCGGGCTCCCAAAGCTTAATCTTATGTGTGGCATTTTTAAAATAAGATTTGCATTTTTATCCCCTCCCCATATTTACCCCTCAACGCTCTGTTCTGTGCGGGCTGCTTAACTGAGTTAGTCAGCAAGTGTGTCTACCGATACCCCCCCTCCCGCCTACACACACACACACACACACACACACTTCTGTATTCCCCCATATCTTTCCTGGGTAAACAATTCTCACCCACCCACTTGGTTTGGCAGAAAGAGCTGCCACCATAAAAAGCGGAGAAAAAAAATAGGGGTTGCCATCAATAAGATCTTGGCTTCCTCGCTGGCCAATCCTCCCCCCCCCCCCCCACGCGCGATTTTTTTTTTTTTTTTTTTGCTCCCGCCGTCTCCCTTTCGGAATCTCTGTTGTTGTTTAAAGTCAGACAATGAGGCGCCGGGAAACTCCCTTCGGCAGCCTGGAGGGAGGCAAAGAGCTTTAGCACCCACCGCGCAGAAAGGGGGAGGGCGGGTTGCCTGCTCGGTCAATTTCAGCCCGCAGGGGAAGCTCCCGCCTGCCTGGGCTCCCCGATGGTTTTGCCTGGGCTCTGGGAGAGCTTCAGATTCCGTCGTGCGCACCTCGCCCTTCTGAGCTGCTTCTGCACTAGAATGTTGCGGCAGGTCTTGCACAGGGGGCTAAGAACGTCTTTCGCTAGACTCGGCCACTTCGTTGCCAGCCACCCGGTCTTCTTTGCCTCTGCGCCCGTGCTCATCTCCATCTTGCTGGGGGCCAGTTTCAGCAAGTACCAGATCGAGGAGAGCGTGGAACACCTGCTGGCCCCCAAACACAGCCTGGCCAAGATCGAGAGGAACCTGGTCAATAGCCTCTTCCCGGTGAACCGGTCCAAGCACCGGCTCTATTCCGACCTGCAGACCCCAGGGAGATACGGCAGAGTCATCATCACATCCTTTGTCAAGGCGAACATGCTGGACCAACATCACACCGATCTGATCTTAAAGGTAAGGATTAGCATTCCTGATGAGTCACCCCTTCTCCACCCCGTTGCTGAAATCCTTTCTTGCCTTCCTGCATGGATCCTTAAAAATGTGTAGAGGTATCTGGTCAGTGGAGTATCAGTCATGTATGCCTGTTCTAGTAGCCTTCTCTGCTCTGGTCTGCAGTTCATAGTTCTGCAACAGTTGGGTTAACTATGGTTTGCAGAGGAGAATACCTGTACAGATTCCCTCTCCTTTTCAGAGGTGATAAGAGGGGGGGGGTTGTGAATGAAAGACACTTCTCTCTCTCTCTCTCTCTCTCTCTCTCTCTCTCTCTCTCTCTCTCTCTCTCTCTCTCTCTGCCTCTTGTCCCTCCTGTACAAATTGAGTTAGTAACAACCACTTTTGCTAATTTGGAGTTCAACCTAAACTTCAACATTGATGGTTAACACTTGTAGGTTACTCTTACCTTACTCAAGACCTTCCATTGATTACATTGGCTATGCAAGTTAATTGAAAATTAAATACAGGGGCTGTTTTATTTCCAAAATATTTCTTTCATAGCATTCTAATCATATTTTAAAAATTGCTGTATGCTACTTTCATATACACAAATACAAGATTTGAAATAAGAAGAAATGATTGTTTTTATAGTTTCTTTGTGTAGATATTTAATGTGTAATGTAATGCAGCAAATTTTACTGAATTGTTCCTGAACTGTATAAAAGGTCCTGCCTATTGCAATATTTTTGTCAATATTTAGTTTGTTGTCTATTTTACAACTGTGTCATACTTTTCAGTACAGGTTTGAGATAAAAACATGGAAAAATGCATGGATGGAATCAAGATGAATGAAGTTGATGAAAGGGGATTCTTTTGTGTTATATTTATATCTATATCTATATCTATCTATCTATCTATCTATCTATCTATCTATCTATCTATATATATATACATACAGTATATATACACATACACACCCACACACACATATATATATATAGAGAGAGAGATGGCTTTGAACATCCATATTTACTTTTTAGCATTAAATAACATTTTGATAAGCTTTGATGACATACTGCAAAGTAATCACAAACATTTGGACCATCAGTATCTCTTGCAATGAGAAAATACATATTCATAGAGAGTCCTGCCAGTTCCATTAAAAAAAACTTGCAATGGAATCCATGATATCAGCCTTTAGTGACCTCTCTTTCACATACACAGAAACACACTGATGTAGCAGTTATAACCAGTGTTTTCACATGGAAATAAATTGTCAACTAGGAAAACCCTCAGAAATATCAGTGCTTATATTTACTCTGAAAGATATTGCAAGCAGATGTAGGTAATGATTGATTTTTTTCTGGTGTGCTATCTCTAGAAACCTAACTACAATTGTAGCAGTAACTATCTTTTCTCAAATAAACAAAATTGTAATAAAAACAAAATTGTAATAACATTAATTATTGAAAAGAAAATTGATTAGTTGAACCCTGTATCATATTCAACATAATCTAAAATAGTTATTGTTAATAAAACAACAGTCAACTATGCACCATTATTATTTCAATACCATCAGCTCTTATACATTGAAGCCATCAGGTACATTAAATGTTATCTCTTGTTCTGTAGTCTTAATTGTCCAAAAGATTGGTTTAATTGCTCCTTTACTGGATTAGTGCTATGTTCTGCCAAATGCATGGCCTAAGTCAGGGCTTTTCAACCAGTGGTACGGATACCACCTGTGGTACATTGACACCTGGTACGCAACTATCCTAGAAAAGTGGTAGCGGGGGAGGGGAATGAGCTGAACTGGTGGCAGCACCGCACAAGCCTGAGCGAGAGATGGCTGGAGCTGCAGGGCTGTCAGGGCTCAGCGGAAGCTCCAGGATCAGTGCCGCTTTCCAGCTGATCGCTGCTTCTTTGGGGCTGTCAGGACTCAGTGGAAGCACCAGGATCAGCGCCAGGCTCCAGCTGGAGCTCGGCGCTGATCCTGGTGCTTCTGCTGAGCCCTGAAGAAGCACCAATCAATTGGAAAGTAGCACTGATCCTGACGCTTCTGCTGAGCCCAGAAGAAGTGCTGATCAGGTAGAATGTTGCAGCATCTCCAGGGTCTTGTGATTTACATTCAGATGCTTGGCAACGGATTCATATTTATGACGGTCACAGTGTCCCAGAGTCATGTGAAGTGACCAAAACCTGCTGCAACCACCCAGCAGACAGGGGGGAATAAAAACCAAACACCACCCCCGCTGCCAATCCTCAACAGAAATACAGCAATGAAAACCTTGGACAGGAGGAAGAGCGCTGCCAGGTGGGCAGGCAGGTGTCTGTGGCTTGGGCGGCACTTTTTTCAGTGCCATTGTAACTTCGAAGAGTCACTAAGCGAATTGTTGTAAGTCGAGGACTACCTGTACTTTATCACTTTTTTCCTTTTTTTTTTTTTTTTTGGTCATCAAGTTTTTGATACTTTGCTAGGCGACTGGTGGTACTCGGATGTTGCCATATCCTAAAAGTGGTACAATGGGTGAAAAGGTTGAAAAGCCCTGGCCTAAGTCTTTGAAAAATGCTGTAGATTGGACTTAAGTGAATAGAGACAGAAAAAAATACTGTTCTTGATAGGTTGCAACGATATGATTCTGAATTGTGCAGTAAAAGAACATAGCAAAGAAAGATATGAACTAAAATTATAATAACTAATGCTATTAATTGGAGAGTAAGCCACATAGAACAAAGTAGAATTTACTTCCAAATAACATGCTTAGGATTGTGCTACACTTGTAGTGATTCACATTATTTTATTAGCACATCAGTAAAAAATGATTCCTTCAGAAAAGATGGTCCAAATAGAAATTTATTGACTAAAATATTGTTTAAATATAACTGTCCACTCTATATTTAATATATTTATATTTAGTATATATTCCAATAATCAACAACCATTTTCCCTTTTTTATCAATTTTCATGTCAAAAAAACTTGACATTGGCACCAATGGTGGTGTAACCAAATATTTGAATGTATCTGGAATATCTCAATTGTAAAAGGTGGAAAAGAGGTGGTAAATTTAGTTTATCAAAACCTGAAGTTACTAATGTTTTGCTCCCTGCCCCCCTCTCCCCAGTATTTTAAATTTCAGAAGGAAAATTTCATCTGCCCACTTTTTAGATGTCAAGCCATTGTGTTTTCATCTGATTGACAAATTGTGCTATTGGTCCGATAGTTTTGCTTCAGGTCTGTTTCCTTTCGATGAATGTTGGTCTTGGGACATAAGAAAAAACTATATTTGAAGTAATGAATCAGACTTGGCAGAGAAGCGAAAATACATGAACACAGCAGCTAAACTACAGTATATCAGCCATTGAAAGTTCTCTCAGATCAAGCTAGATCTCAGATACTAATGTTACACCTGCTGCTTATCCTCCAGTGTCAAATAAAAGGCAGTTCTGGAACGCTGGCTGTTAATTTCTGACTTCATTTTAAATATTTCTAAGTATCAATTGCTAATTGTTTTAAGATGCAAGAGTGAAGAAATTCCTTTGCATTTATTTTGGTTTTGGGCATAAGTTAATGTAATTAATTTTTAAATGTTCATACAGCAATATAATATCGAGATACATTTTATACCTCCACTTGCAGATGTTTTGGGGCAACTTCTTGGCAGCTGATTCCATTTTTTGTCAGGCAAAATGCTAAAAAAAAGACACTGATTTTTGGGCAAATCTATCAAGTTACCATTTCTCTTGACAGAGTGTTGTTCTAATACCATAGTTAAAACAATTGAGTTTTTTAATGAACGACTGTATTTCTTATTACAGATAATCCTTGACTTATGACTGTTTAACAATTTTTTGAAGTTTCAGAAAAAATGACTTACGACCCTTCCTCGAACTTATGACCATTGAACTCCCCTCACAGTCATGTGATCATAATTCAGGCATTTGGCAACCAATTCACACTTACAGTGGTTGCAGCATCTTGCAGTCATGTGATTGTGATTTACAACCTTCAGACAAGCAAAGTTGATTGCAGAAAACAGAATCACTTAATGACTGTATGATTCACTTAACAACCACAGTAAAAATGGTTGTAAAATCAATGCCAGTCATATAAATTTCATTCTCAATTGTGAACATAAGTCGGGTACCATTGTATGTATACTTACTCAGAGGTCTCATAGTGTTAAGCAGAATATATTCCTTACTTATTAATTAGTGTGTACAATAATATAATTATTTAAAAAATTGGAATCTGAATAGAATTTTTGAGCAGTAGCTTCCCAATGGAACCAAACAGTTAGAAGTCACTATTTTGTGACCAGGAAACTTTTTGTTGTTGTTTTTGTTGGAAGCAACTATTGTATGGTCAATAAGGGTGAGGGGGCAGTTTTGTTCGTTTCTTGTTTGAAATTCATTTTAGGGTATTAGCATAACAACAAAGCATAAAAGGGAGTACAATTGCCCCAAACAATAAGAGATATAATTTGACAACAGTACTTTGAAAATAATTACCTTGTGTAACATCTGTCTGTCTGCCTATCAGGTTTATAATGTTTATTTTGCTTTCCTATGGATCTAAAAGCAAATAAACATTTTCACCCATTTCTCCTTTTAAGGAAACCTAGATCAAGTTTGTTCTTCAGATATGTTGAATACCAGTTACCATAATTAGCCTTCTAGCATTAACAAGAGTCACCTGCCATTAGGATCCCTTTGTTGGATTAGAAATCTTTACCAAAAGATGAAAGCAAACATATTGTCTGTGGGAGGTGTATTAAATCTGTTCAATTGATTGTGTTGATTTTGGATCTTCTGTCAAACGTTAAAACCAAAATTAAAACAAGAGGCCAATATTTACGGTAAGACTGAGCAGTATCAAATATAGGGCGGATTCTTTACAACCCATGACAGTAAATTTACTTTTCAAAGCAGTGTTTTGTTTTCCTTTGCTTATTTACACACTTGTGTATTGCTACCATGATTCATTTTAGCTGCTCTTAAGAAGGGTATCGCAACCTTAGTA